TCTTGCTGCTACACACTGGTTGGCAAAAGGCAGCAGTGCGAAACGATGCTGCAGAAGTGAAGTATGCAAAGATGCTGCAGTATCACAGGGCAGCTGTGGAGAAAACTCGTTAGCTGATCTCAGGTTTCAGAGATCAGGGTTTCTCAGCAGGCAACAACCGCACTCCAAAAAAGCCTCTATGTATTAACAGTGCCACCCCTGCCTCCCTGTTATCCATCAGGAAAAAAAATCAAGGCAAAGGCTCTATCAGACATCAAAACAAGAGAATGCTCCTGCATGTCAGCCTCATCAATCAGCTGTTGACACTGCAGGAAATACAGCATTAGGTTTCACGTGGATAACAAACACTTTTTATGCCTGGCATTGATTTTTAGCTTTTCTTATTAATAATACTTGAGACCAAAAAGAAAGAAGTCTAAAGCAAGGCAGAGAGAAATGAGAGTCTTAACGAGCGCGTTCTGTTTGATCTTGATGACAGCTGGTATTGGCCCTATCCACTGATGGAGGCCAGCTCTGCTGCCCAGGCCTGCTCTGTGGTAGGGTCTTAAAAGGCCATCCATTGCAAATTCTGCTTTCACAGTTTATCACGCTGAAAAGCATGATAAATCTCACAGTTTGGGGATTCCTACTATTATATCAGTGATCACAGTTAATTAGAAAAGTAGTTCTGGGGTTCACTCCTCCAGTAAAAGAGATGACATGCCCAGAAACTTCACCGACTCAGCTCTGTGGTTACCTCAGCCTGACTCAGACCAGAAAGACATTGTAAAACCACCATTCCCAGCCCCACAGGGACATGGGGCTTCTCATGGCACCCATGCACCGAGATGCATAGCAACCTGCTTCCCCTCCTGGCAGGATGCCTCACTCGAGGCAAGTAATTAATGCAGCTGGATTTCCATCTGTGTACAAAGGAAAATGACTACCTGACAACAAAGGCAAACGATCAGTTAACGTTTGTAAAGCACTAAGACCTGTTATGCCAAATGCTGGAAAATCAAGTAATCCCTCTGAGTGCCACGCCACCCCAGTGCCAGTCAATCACACGGCTGTAGGCTCTTGCCTTTCCTTTGTACACACTCACCTTTTTCATCTTGTTTTAATTCACACACAGTTTATTTTGGTGGAAATGAGGTATTTTGTTTGTTTGCTTGGATTTAGCGAGGCTTATTTTTGTTAAGCCACAGAAGAAGGGAAATCAATGCCATACATACCTTCTTCCCTCACCACATATTTGCTTATCTCTGGTGTCTGCTCTAGAACCAAGACAGGCTCCAAGAAAACACATGTTCAAGTTAGTTCCTGAAAATATTGACCAAGTAACGATAATACACAAAAGTGTGCCTTTCTGGTGAGACAAATGCTTGGCAGTTTTTGTCAGGCTCTAATCGGATTGTTTCTGCCAGGACATCAAGGAGCTGCTGTGCTCCAGCTGCTGCAGCCCCTCCCCACCACCTCCAGCACCCATCTGCTTCATACAGCCATCCCATTTCCTGCAACCTGAAACACAGAAATCTGCTTTTGTTCTGCATCCTGCCTTGCATAACAGGGCTTTAATTCAGAATTCCACACACTAAATAGGAATAGTTAGCATGCCCATGTCTCTCTATATGGCTGATCTCATTGGCTGATGCTACTGGGAAGTAGAGGGGAAACCTTTCTGCAATGAGTCGGCTGCAAGCACTGCTCCTGCTTCTACACTGCTCCTCTGAAACCACAGCAATACTCTTGAAAGAACCAAGAAGGATTTCAACAACTGAAGCTCCCTTCCAAGAAGGCTTTTCACAGCACAGAAGCCACTGACTCTAATACAGCAGCTAACCATAGGTGCATTAAAATCAGAGTGCTTTGCCTAAAATCATCTCAATATTCAGTGATGTTATGACCACAGATTGCCATGGTCTGCCAAAATAAAAACAAGGACTGTAAGCTGATGCAGGAGGTGTGCACATCTGCATATTCTAGCTACAGGCTGCTAGGGAACACGTAAAATCATGCAGTATTAGGCAGAGTGTCCATTGTTTTGGTTTGTGCACATTAGCCTGGGCTCCTAAAGATGTGCTGAACCAGGATTTCAGCAGGAGCACTGGGAGGGGTAGGCTGCAAGGTGGCTGGAGAAGGTTGCAGCCCTTTGCTGGTTTGAGGCAGCATGGGCTGCCTGAAGGAAAGCTGGGGAGGGACTCTTTTATATGGGCATTAGTGACAGGATGAGGGGAAACGGTTTTAAATTGGAAGAGGGTAGATTTAGACAAGATAGTAGGAAGAAATTCTTTACTGTGGGGTACTGAAACAGATTGCACAGCAAGGTTGTGGATGCCCCCTCACTGGAAGCACTCATGGCCAGGCTGGATGGGGCTGTGAGCAACCTGGGCTATGGGAGGTGTCCCTGCCTACAGCAGGGGGGTTGGAACTACGTGATCTTAAAGGTCCCTCCCAACACAAACCATCCTATGATTTCATGCTTGCAGTCATGTATTTAATTAGGCAGACTAGCCAGCAGATGAGGCTTATGAGCTCTTTCATCGGGTGGGTTTGAGGGAGCCTCCATTCAAATGCAGTGGAAGCTGCAGGATGGAGGTGGTAGAAGCTATAGAACAAGATTTAAACATCACCCAGAGTTGAGCAGCAGCCAGAGACATGGGGATGGTGTTTGGTGCTTTCAGAAACCCAGCAGCAGAGCTGCCACTGGGCCATGTGATGCAGCTCTCAGAGAAGCGGCAGAAGGGATGTAGGCACTAAGGAGAGTGACCCAGAGCTGGAGGCTGCAGGGACACAGAAACACACCTGGCTTCAGACAACACAGAACAAACTAGGCAGGGTCCCTCCACTGCCAGCCAGCTTCTGGCACAGAGATGCTCCAAGTGGGCAGCTTTGGGACTGGCACCACCCCACCACAGAGCTCCAACAAAAAGCAAAGCCCTCTGCTAACCTGCTGAGCTGCGAAAGAGCCTCGAGGAGAAAGCTGTAGCCTTAACCCCATTCCTTCTGGTATGTTGACAACTCATGAAAAATACTGTGTTTCATGGGACAAAACATCGCCTCTGCCGCTCAGAAATTGCTAATTGCCAAGACATGGCTCTTAATGAGTGCTACAGCATTTACAGACACTATTTATTTGGAGAGGTGTTATCTTGCAGAGTTTCCTGCCGTAAGCAGCACTGAGGCACACCAGAGCACAGGTGACAACTGCTGTCACCCACTACAGTCATACAATGCCTGATTCTGAACTTTCAGGTCAAAAACATCATTCCTTGCACAGAGAGAACCTCATCCACATGTGCTCCAAGTGACAAACTGCTCTGGGCTGCTTTGAAGTGAGATCCGCCCAACTTGTTCTGCCTTTTCACATTAAAATTCACACAATTCCAACAAAATAAATTCATTTCTCATAGCCTTGTCTGAAAAGACATGATATATTTCTGCTGTTCTCCAGCTGTACAGCATCTGTAACTGAAACCATTTTTCAGCATTTTTGTAATAACAGTTTTAAATATTTCTCCATGAGCCACACTGGACTCTTTAAAAAGAAGTGGCTATTAGCTTTTATCCCAGATCCATATTTATAGTCCTTCACCAAATCTATTTCAACCTTTCATTTTTTATGTTTCCTTTTTTTTTTCCCTAGAATTCTCAATATACTGCAGGAGAAAAGATGATGGGATAAAGCTCATCCTAACTACGTGCTTCTCCACTCGTGACACATCACAGCCACTGATTTGTTGACGAGTTCCACTTCAAAAGCTTCATTCTGCACCTAACACCTGCACTCATGTCAGCAGTGGGACCTGTGTGAGAGTGAGGTATGAACTGCAGTCCTCGCTCTCATGTCTGCTCTTGTAAAACTGGGGCATCACTTTCTATACGTATAAATGGGTGAATCCTCCAATTATGGCAGTCCGAACCACCTCAGATAAGAACATGCAACCCAAAGAGCTCTGCCCAAGTCTAGGATTTAGCTTCAGGACTGCATTTACTGTATTTGGTTATTTTTCCAGACCAATGCCCACTGCTGCTTTCCGAGATCACTTTATCAAAGCACACGAGAAGAGACACAATGCTCCACAGCCACCCCAACGTGGGACAGTGCCACAGGAACCCCAAGGGTTTTGTGCCCGCTGCTCTTCCCGTCCAGCTTTGCTTGTAGTAGAGATTCTGCTCAAATATCAAGATAGTAATATTCATGCAAACAGAACAAGTTGCAAAGCAGTGTGAAACCTTTTACTGCACTGAAAGGAGCAAGTACTGTATTACAGCTACTACTACGACTACAGCAATGTAGCAAAAACATTGACAGACCCCTAACTATTATGAAGCCTCCTGGCAATGCTATAATTAGATCCAACATAACTATTAGTCATCTTAATCAGTATACACATCGCTTGCTTTGCACAATAAAAGTTACAGAGTAAGGATGCCACTTAATGAGGTGACCTGGAAATTGAGTCCTGTCTATATTTCACTTATTTAAAGTCCTTACCAAGATTAAATGTAGTATTTATAACAAAGCCTGGGGATTTATATGGAACTCCACCTGTACATAAAATCACCTGTTAACATTATAAATACGTAGATAAAATACCTGAAGGACACTTCTGAAATTATACCAACAGTTCATTTGGAACTGTGTTCTGAGGAGAGAAATACAGCCTATTTTAGAAACTCAAGGTTAATTGTATATTCTAATAAGTGTCAAATATGTCATAAAAGAAAACGCATTCACTTAAATTCTCATCATCCTTTCAGTTCTCCTGATGATGCCTCACTGTTTCCCTAGCAGAGTTCTCTTTACAACCCCCCACCAATGTGACAGTGACTGCCTAATGGTTCCGCTGTCATAAGGAGAAGGCAATGTCACACCCAAAACCCCACTGAGCTTCAGCTAACCCCAGCAGTGAAATTTCCACATGTAGTAAGACAAATATTAAAAACTATGTTACATGTGCCTGAAGACATTGAGGCACATTGCACCTGCAGCTCAGGTCAGTGCATCCATCCATCAGTGCTCCCGCATCCTGACTCAGACTTAGGGATGCAAAGCAGTGCCTGCCCTGCAGCCAGCAGTAGGGAGGAGGAGATGGAGTTTCAGAAGAAAGCACAGCATTTTGAGAGCACTGAGAGATAAGACCTCTATTAAAACTGTAAATGCCTACCTGCTCTGAACTGCAGCTGTAACTTCTGCTCTGCTGGGACTCAGAATTCATCCACGCTTTCCTCTTTTTGGTTCCTTGCCTTCTCCATGCTTGTTACAGGAGGCTTCCTAAGGAATACAGGAAAGTGCTCTTCCTTCAAAGACTATCCAGACATTTTCTACAGGTTTTACCTTTTACTTATTTATTTCTAGTACAACTACGTAACCTTGTTTCCCTATCAGAAAAGTGTTTGTAAGAATGAATGTCAGCCAGACATTTAAAGCCAGAGGAAACTTGGCATCAACACAATGGCACAACAAAATCACCCTGTACCCCGCAAGCACCTGATTCCTGCAGTGCTGGCAAGGCACTGAGAACGCATCTGTGTCACCCAGCAAGCAGCCCTGCAACTTGGGTTAAATGCTGAGTCTCTGTCTTCACCTCAGAAAGCAGCAGCAGGAGGCCTGTACACTCTTCATCTCACAGGTCTGTGGCAGTTATTTATCGGTAACTTCATTGAAACTTGTGGCCTTAGATTTGCAGCATCAGGCAACGGTGATATCCAGAAGTTCCAGTTACGCTTTGCAATAGCAGCTGCACAAGTTCCATATAGGCTTCTTAACAAGAAGGCATGCCCACTTTGCCGTGCACAGATGCACCCTACGCAGCAGGAGACACAGAGTAAAGCAGAACAGAGCAGCTGACAGCCTCCAGTGTGTGCCTTTACCCACACAGAGGCAGTGCCATGTTTAGGCTTGGATTGGGTAGAGAGCCTCTCAGTGCTCCCAGAGTACAGTATCACACACAAAAAGCAGCTTAGATGTGATATGATGGCATTTGGCAGGGAAACTGCTCCAGAGAACAAGAGCCTGCAAGAAAAATGAAGACAAAACAAAAATGTCATCACATTTGGTGCAGAAGCCAACCATATCTCCTCGCCAGCTACCTGCTGACGTTGCCAGACTTGAACCTCCTGCCTCCAGCCCAGAAAGCCCACCACAGCAGTTAGCAATCTGTTCACACCCTCATTAAGCCGATTAGCCATTAGTGATGGAGCAGTCTCCAGGAATGCCACAGCACCATTGCCCTGTGACAAATCCCATTCCTCCTAAGTGCAGAGCATTTAATACTTACTATCCCAACGTTAATTTGAATTTAAAGAAAAAAAGAATTAACGAAGAAAATTGCTTCAGTAGGCAGACTATAGTAAATATCAACGTTTCATCAAAGCTCTTCTTTCATTAGTTCTAGCCCAATTACATCAACCATTTATTTTCCAGGATAGTTCTTCAAGCTATTAAAAAACTGTGTGGAAAAAAAATGAAATACTCTCTCACTTCCTCATTGCAAAAGCCTTTCAAATGAACATTATTAAAGATATGGGGAGAACAGGAGAGTTATTGTTTGCCACAGATGAAGTGCCTTGCCAAAATAATGCAGAAAAATCGATATTCAGTACAGCCAGCAACAGAAGACAAAGAAATAAAGCTTATGTATAAAATCCAAAGCAACAACAATAGAAGTTTAGGAAGAGGTAAATAAAGTTAGGTGAGTTCATCTTCAGCTGTGGTACACACAGGAGTTGAAGCATGCATTACCTGTCCGACCTGACGGGACACCAAAGGCAGGTTGCACTGTATCATGTCTGCCAGATGTCCACCATAAACGATGGTCTGAAGAAACAAAACAAATGAAGCACAAGGCCAATGTTCAGGAAAAACTGATCATGCCTCAAAGAGACAGTTGAGCAGACCGAGAGGGATTCAGCAAGCATTCGCTTGATTCTTCTAGACTAACATAGTTTTTGTTCTTTTCAAAACATCATCTGTAATTTGTGCAGCAAAGTTATCCACTGTGCTCATCTCGCAATCATGTCTAGTCTCCTCAGAACCACAGGTGACATTGTTGCTGTCACTGTTCTGCTCACAGCACCTCACCACCAGTGCCACTGCAGGCAGGGATGGGAACAGCTGAGCCACTTCCACAGCCCCAGACACAAAGCCAGGCCTGGCAGCTGGGCCAGCAATACCAACAGAGGGAGGCACTGCTTACCTGGCATGAAGGTACAGAAGGCATCCTTGGAGACAATGCTTTACTATGCAGCTTCCCATTGCATGCAGACAGCAGCACAGCTTTCAGTTCAGGCTGGCAAATGCTGTACACAACTGCAGAGGAATGGCACAAGCACCTTAATTGCCTTGGGCCACCTCTCTTCATAAAGCAGAAGGGGTACCTGGGATCCCAGTGAGATGGAGAACCTTATCTTTCATTATATCATAGCCGCTGCCAAGATGAGATGTGACAACACGCTGTTGAGTACTGACTTCCCTGGTAAAGCAAAGAATTAAGTCAAAGGCATATTACAGGTAAGTGAATTACCAGATACAAGACCTTCCAGAAGACTACAGAAAAGTATTTAAAAGATGCACATAGGTCAGAAATCAGTTTTACAACTCATTTAAAAAGCAGATTTCCTCAACACTGCTTCACTTCCTCCTGGTCACATTAAGATCAACATTCATGTCAGGACAATACAAAGCATAAAAGAGCAGCACAACCTCGATCTGAAGTGGGTACAGGGAAAATGATACCACATTGGAGGCATATCTCAGGATCACAGGCAACTGCACTGCAGTTTGAACGACCTGAAACACGACCTCACCACATTCAAACTCTTCTGCTTCCATTCTGCGCCATTTATCTCCAAAATCAAAATTAAAGAGCACAATGAAAAGAGCCTGCCTCTGCATCTTGGCTCCTTCCCACCCGAGGCAGTGATATGTGTGCACACCAGTGAGACCCCAGCCTTCTCCTCTCCAGGCTGGGTTGACAAGAGCAGTTGTGTGCTCTGCATCATCATCACAGTTGTGAGGGAAGAGAAAAACTGTTGTGGACCCCGAACTGCCAGAAGGACACTGAGTTGCTCAAGCACATGCAGGAAACAGCAAAGTTGGTAAAGAGACCAAGAGAGAAAGAGGACTAGTGAGGAACTGCTGAAGGAACTGGGGCTGTTTGATTTGGAGAAGTTTGAGGGGAGACCTCAATGCTCTCTACTGGAACTACCTGGAAATGCTACTGGAACTACCTACAAGAGAGGTCTCAATCTCTTTTCTCAGGTGACAAATGACAGGACACAGGGAAAGAGCCTTAAGTAGGGCCAAGGCAGCTTTAGATTAGATATTAGGAAAGATTTCTTGACATAGGAGGTGCTCAAGTGTTGGAATGCACTGCTCAGGGCAATGGTGCAGTCCCCATCCCTGCAGGTATTTAAGAGACACGTGGACGTGGCACTAAGGGACATGGATAAGTGGTGGGATTTGATAGGCCAGGCTGATGGTTGGACTCAGTGATCCTGAAGGTCTTTTTCAACTTAAATGACTCTTTTGATTCTAATCACAGCTTCTTCAAGGTCTCATCTTTTTGTGATGAAGAGCTCCAGACACTGGAGCAGAAATTCCCCTATGGCCCACGAGAAGCCCACGCTGGATCAGGTTTATCCTGAAAGCCCATGCTTCAACAACAGAGAAGTGTGACGATGATGGGAGGAAGAGAGAAGCTGCTGTGGGCTTAGCACAGGCCCTCATGCTTCTCAGGGTGGGGATTTAGAGCACTATGTTTAATTGGCAATAAATCAATTAATTTTCCCTAAGTCAAATCTGCTTTGTCTGCTACAGTAAGCAGTAAGTGATCTCCCCATCTTCACCTTGACCCACCAGCTTTTCCATCTTATTTTCTTACCATCCTATTGAGAAGGAGTGAAAGAAAGGTTGAGTGGGAACTGACCAGGGTCAACTCTCTCACCCACCAATCCAGAGCTCTTCATATTTTAAATTCTTCCCAGGGTATTCTTTCCAATGCTGTGTGATTAGCATTAGCATATGAACTCAAACTCAGTAACAACTGTACAGAACTAACAAATAAAGGCCATACCCTGTCAGATGAAAAGGAAAAAAAAAATAGATGCTCAAAAGTGAAGCAAGTTTTAGTACTATACTGTTCAAGTGCTCGTTATCACCTCACCTTCCATTTATTTCTGCAAGTTACAGCTGGACTTCAATTCTGAAAGATTCTGAAGCTTAAATAAAGGGGGAGAAATTGAATTGTTATGAAAGAACACGTTGTTTTCAAACAAAACTCTTTTAAGTATAGAAATGGTTTGCTTTCACCCCTAGCAGAGGAGTATTTCACTACTGGGAAGAATTGAATCAGCAATGAAGATTTTGCTTCTCCCCCTGAAATACACGCACTTGCTTTGAAATATAGGGATGAAGGATTTTATTCTAAGAATTCGTTAATAATAAATAAAAGGAAAATAGTTTTAAGCTGAACTGCTTTGCAAATTAGAGCTTCACTTCAGCTTTTTCCATTTCACGAGTCAAAACTTTTCCTTTTTATTAAGTGCAGCTGAAATTTCAATTTCCTTGTGACTGAATATAGTGCTCCATTCAAGCCACAAAAAATATTCTATTTATTGGAATGCTTCAGTTTCAGATCATTCTGAGCTAATATTTGCTCAGCTCAGCTAAACTGAAAACCAGAAGCATGTCTGTACATAAATAAAGCAGAATAATTTTCTCCAATCCTGTATCTGTGTCAGCCTAATCAGGTCACTGGTGGGAGCTGTTGACTGGTGGAAACACAAGACTTTCTCTTTATGAAAAATGACTGCCCTTGCTTTCAAGCAATCTAGTTTGCGTCAACATTGCTTTTCTCGGTAAATAATAGGCTCTAAGTGGCACATCCATTCCTCTTCAGTACAGACAAGTCTTGGAATGTTATTTTTAGGCATCTCACAGTAATAATGCGTTCAGTGCAATGCTTGGAGCATATCTATGGTAATTATTCTTTGTCTGTTCTCTTGCATTGGTCAGCTTCAGAGACACCTCATAAAACCACAGCCTTTCTTGGCTGCAGAAATGGTAGCAAAACCATGTAATCCTCTGGTAACACTCGGCTGGCTTTGAACAACGCCACTGCATCAAATTAATTAAGCGGAGACACACCCACCTCTGGCTGAAAATGCCAAACAACTGAACCTCAGCATGACTCTTCCTGCTTTAGCTGCCTCTAATTCTCCCCCATTTCCTTTACATGCTAACAGAATAACCCAAGTTGGAAGGGACCCACTAGGATTGTCAGCTCCCAGGTCACGCAAGAATTGCAAGTAACACAGGTTATCAGAACCAAACCAGCCCTGAGCTGCTGACCTCCTTTGCAGCCATATCAAATAACCCCATGCTGCTTTGTGCACAGTTCCTCAGGTTCTCAGTCCAGGTCTCCAGATGAGGTGTATTACAAGAAGTTTGTCAATATCCTCAGTAATTTAGTAGTACTTCTGGTCACCATGGCATGGTTCTCAAAAAACTCACTCCCCTGGAATTAAACATTAAAAAGATGCCAAACCAGACCAAAATAATCTAATGACTGTATTTAAATACATGCTTTGTCATCCACATTACTAGGCTAAATACGTAAACGTCTTTGCTATACATTCTGTAGTCAGTGTGCTGAGCAGAGGCAATTCTGCTTACTCAGACTGCTCTCTGATCACAAGTTATCTCTACTGGGAAATCATCTGAGGTGCCTGTCATGCTGTAGCATACAAGCAGCTCATCTGAGCTTTTTAATGATTTATTAATGCAGTCAATCTGGTAGTGGTAGCTCTTGTTATCAGAGAGCTGCAGTTAGCAGTGTTGATTGTGCAGTATAACATCATAACCTATCCTTGCAATGTAGTGCAGGTTAGACTGGGACTGCTTTGACTAGGCCTGACTCTTGTTTTAGCAAGCAGATGTCTGTTTGCATCAAAAGGAGATTGCCCAATACAGACGTTATTCATAGGATGCCTTAAGGTTCTTCATCCCATTTAGTGCAATGTCAGGTCACTATCTTCCTCCAGGAAAGGCTGTTAATCAGCATGATGTGATTTGTCTTTTCTAGGTTGATGACACCCAGCTCTGTGACTTTTCAAAGCCTAGCCCTGCGTACTCTGTCATATCTCTTCAAACATGAGAATTAATGCAAAACTGCTTCCACTTGAAGTCAGATAAAAGATGGTCTGTTAATGGGTCCAGGCACTTCAGAACAAACTGCTCTTTCCCACGCTAAATTCTGGAAATGGAAACATCCATTTAAATTCTTGTGTAAGGATTTGGTGTTAAACCTACATCAGCTTGGTTCAGACAATCTGAAAGCAAAGCAATGCGTGGCTCCAGCAGCCCCTCCAGCAGCACAGTGGCTGCACCTTCACTCCATCCAGAACAGCTGCCCATGGCTTGTGCTGCCAAGGCAAGGATTCATTCTTAAGGAAGATTCAGAGCTCCAGAAGTCCCTGGCAAAAGATGCTTGGTGCCTGCAGCTATATTACATACAGAGAGATTGCTTTTTCTGAACCCAGAGCTCTCAGTCTGAACTGTTCTCCCAACAATTAATCTGACATAAGACAAACTTGAGAACTTGATCTGAAGTCGTAAACAGTAACAGATGCCAACATGAAGTTTCTCTCCATCCAACTCCTAACAAAAAGGCCACTACTATATTATCCCTTCTCATAACTTCAACAGCACCATGGCTAAAATGCTTATGGGGCAAAATCATTCCCCAAGCCACACAAACAGGCTTTCAGAAGAAAACGTGCGACTCTTCGTTGACATGAAGTTGATCAGAAGTCGACCAAAGCAACAACAGATTGAAAAAACCTCTGGTTTGAAATCAGAAGGCAAAAGCAGCAAACCGGGAAAGTGATGTGATTTGCTGATCGCCTAAACGAGAATTAATCCTTTTTTGTTTATTTATCTAGAAAATATGTGTTTCTTCCTCCAATAAGTCTCCAATCCATTCAGGCAGATCAGCTTTTAAAACAAGAAGATATCAAAGCAGTGAATAACTAAAAGGCTGTTTCAGAGATTGTCAGTACCGATTATACACCAAAGGAATCTCCTGATAAACACAAGTGAAAAGGAGTCCAGAATATCTGGAATTCTGATTTCATTAAAGACTGGCAGCAAGGCCAGAATCTCTTTGCGAGGTGCACTTCATTTACCACATTAATACTAGGTGGAACAGAGAAGCTTCCTCAGACACATTAATCAAAATCTAGTCCAATGCCTTTAGAAAAGCCTTTAAGAGATTACTCTTCCTCGGCTGTTTAAAACAAACTTTGAAAATAGTTCAGAAGGTCAAAAAAAATCCTTGATTTTTTGGCCCAATGCACAGGGATGGTGCTTTCTTAAATACGTCCTTTAACAAACCCTACCAACAGCCAGAAAAGTACAGCCGTCGGGTACAGATTATTGCTCATCTCAGAGAGGCTGAAAATCAGCACGGCAGTTCAGTTTTCCAGAGCTGAAGTCAGAACTTCTGTAAGCACAAAAAAGAAATCACAACACCAAAAAAAGAAGAGAAGAATTAAGGGACAGGGAAGGCCCACAGCAGAAGACCCTGGATTTTAAAGGCAGAACAGCACTTCTCTCTAGACCTAACACTTCAGTACCTTATAGTTGTTTGCCTGAATGCTGAAGATATATCCAGGAAAATGTAACAATTGCCAGTGATCTCAGGATCCTTTGAAGGATGCTGTCTGATATTTCTACATGTGTGACAAGCTTGTTGACAGAGCCATCAGTACGTCCTGGGCAGAAGGGGATAGCTGTGCAACTCCTCTTTTCAAAGCACCACAAGCAGAGATGTTCTGAAAGGCTCCCTGTGCTGGCTGCTGCACTGCACTACTTAAGTAGTGAAAAACGTAACAATAATCAAGAAAAAAAAGCAAGTTTTGGTTTTTGTAAGGTGTGGAAGACCTTATTTATGAGTCAAACAGGCTGCGTGAATATATGTGTGTATCAATTAGCACAGCAGAAATCACAACTCACTGCATGAGCAAAATTCCACATATGCTACTCCTGACCCCCAATTGCTCCCAACAGTGTTAAATTATTCCTCACAAAGCAAAACAAAACGACGACAAAAACGTCACACCAACAGTGAGCACATACAAACCAACAAGCTGCCATACAGCTATAGAAATTGCTTGCCAATAACAACAGAAATTGAAGACTTTGCTCCCAAACACAATTATTTGTATTGTACTCAATGCACTCATTGTGTTATAATCATTTAAAACCTAACAATCTGTATAATTAACAGATGATGTACTACAGATATCACTGCAATAATCCACACTCTGATATCAATTTATATTTTTTCCCAAGAGTGTGGAGGTCAGTTTATCAGGATGAATTACCTTTACTTACCGTTTTGCCCAATGCAGCTACTTTTCCCCCAAAATAAATGCGGTTCCAGCAGTTCCAAAATCTTCAGGAAATGCAGATGGGAAGAGTGGAGACCAGAGAACTGGTTTCAGAAGGCTAAGACTGAACAAATGGAGATTGAAAAACATTTGAGAAGATACAGAGATATTTCAGCTGACACTGAAGCACCCCGAGCACTGGACAGAAGCTATGAATACAAACTGAGATGCAGCTGTATTTAATCTCTGCAAAATGTTTCTGCCAGTCTTCTCTTCCAAGTGGGCAATAAAGAGAAACGGAAACAAACTCCCACAGGAAAATGGAAAACATACTTTGCTGTGATGCTTCTGTTATGGGAATTGTCTGTGGCCTACAGCACATGGAAGCAAGCAGCCCGTTGGAGCAGCTCCAGTCAAAGTCACTTGGCAGACCAGCAAGAGCTGCTGCAGTGAATTAGAGCTCTGCTCCTTTCGGATCAGGAGTGAGAAAAGGCAGATTTGTTCTGAGACCAACCCAGGGCTCACTTCAAATGTCACCTTTTTAGAACTGCAGGCATTGCCATTCTTTAAGTGTAAAGAAAAACACTTCTTCGAAATTATGAGCTATAACCTCTTCACAATGTTACAACACTGGTCAGTTCTAATTCAATTAACAGTTCTTTTCTCACTGCACTCGTCCACATTTTTAAACAATCATTAAAATAGACATGAAAGTTGCAAACCTGAGGTGGTGAAATAATGTTCACTGATGAATACAAGTCTCAGTTTTCCTATGTATTTTGATATTGAAATCCCACAAAAGGATGACAGGATGCAGCACTAAGGCTTGCGATTCAGGCTCTGATGACTGAATTACATTGCATCAAAAGGAAACATGCACTGACAAAACTTTGATGCAGTTCTTCTTTCATTCAAATGCAGTGGGCTTTGTTCCCTAGCTGAAACATTGGTGCGGCAAAGCACATCTCTTTGTACATCAGTGCAAGACTTTTAGGGCTGGAGCAACGCTGAAGTTAGCGCTGCTCTGTGCAGAGAGAGTTAAAAGTTATCAACTAAGGTCTCTTTCTGCGTGAACTACCTCCATGTCCTGTGATTTTGCTGTGTATTAATGCTTCAAATCAGCAGCTCTCAGACCGCACCCATTAAGTGTTCAGGATTCCCATATGGTTATGCTTGAGGCTGGATGACAGAAGCAGGGAAAGAGGGAAGGGAAGATCACACTGTTTCAGTAATATCATCAAATATCATTAACATCCCACCGCCTACAAAAAACAAGCAAACGAAGAAAACAACAAGGAAACTTCCTGCAGTTATAACATGTTATCCAAAAACTCTGCTGAAACTCAACTGTGAGTCAGCAAGAGTAACTCACAGAATCACAGAATCACCCGGGTTGGAAGGGACCTCAAGGATCATGTAGTTCCAACCCCCCTGCCTAGCAGGGCCACCAAACACACACATTCAGATCAGGTTGCCCAGGACCCCATCCAACCTGGCCTTAAACACATCCAAGGACGGGGCATCCACAACCTCCCTGGGCAGCCCGTTCCAGGGCCTAACCACTCTCCTTGTAAAGAACTTCCCCCTAACATCCAACCTAAATCTTCCCTCCTTCAACTTGGATCCATTTCCCCTAGTCCTGCTGTTGTCAGCCCTTGTGAAGAGTTTACTCCCCTCCTGGGTGTAGGTTCCCTTCAGGTATTGATAGGCTGCAATGAGGTCACCCCGCAGCCTTCTCTTCTCCAGGCTGAACAAGCCCAACTCCCTCAGCCTGTCCTCATAGGGGAGGTGCTCCAGCCCCCTGATCATCTTAGTCGCAACTCAGGTCGCAGTTTAAGCTTTTTGCATAATTAGTTTACGTTTAATCAGACTGCTGGTATGTAAACATAATTACCATTCACAGACCTTTAATTGAAATTGTCACAGCACTACTGCTAGCTTCTTCTCCAGGTCTGCTAAAATGGATTTCCACTCCACAGACACTAAGTGGGGATGGCAGTTCTCCTCAATACTGCCACGCACCAGGCTGACCAATGCTCCTCACACTCCTACTGGTGAAGCCAGACAAAAAAAACACCACAGTTCATTTGGAATAATGCATGTAATAAATTAACTTCAGCTGACATTAATTGTACAGAACACATTTGAGCTCATGCATGACCATCAAACTCATGGTGTGGATTCTCATCATTCCAGTAAAACTTACCTCTAAAGGGATAAATCCACACAAACTGTGATTTATATTCAGAAATGCCAAAGACCATGGGTGACCTTTCTTAGGCCTCTGCCTTCCTGAAATGAGTTCTATGATTCACCTGCGTGCAGAGAACATGTGCACAGCGCTCTTTAAAATTAAAATGAGGCCTCCACCTACACCTGAGTGATTGTCAGCCAAGTGTTTAGAAATAGTGTTAAGTAACAATACCTTCTTACACGTGCATTGACTTCCAATGCATTAAGGAGAGCAGGACAGAGGCAGCCTTACAAAGAAGGCTTCTCACAAGAGTGCTGTTAAGGCACCTGCGGGTCTTCTCAACTCCACCATCGTTGTGCCTCTCATTCTGAACCACTCTCAAACTGGGGCTGTTGAATACTTTTCAGTACTTGTAAAAACTAGGTATGCTTGTATGATTCAATTCTCTACCCTATCCTTTTTCTTACAAGCTCCAAAGGCAGCAGCATCAGAGAACTCCTAACTGGGCTGGTACCACACGTCCCAGTCTGACTGGATGACACAATCACAAAGGAACAGCATCAGTTAACTTCAGATTTTTTTCCTCCAAGCTCCTCTTGTTTGCTTGGCCTGCCTGGGTAGCCCAGCCTTTATTATCTTTCATGGGGATGTGCAGTGAATGCAGTGACATTGACAGCTGCTCAGTACTTGATGAGCAGCAGCCAGAGTTAGCCAGCAGGGTCAAGACAGAGTAAAGCTGTGGGGAGATAATGCATGCTTACAAATTTGACTTAAATTCTCCACAAGTTTAAATTACTTTCAATGAAACCAGTGAAGATTTGACAAATGAGATGAATGGCCCCCTGAGACCTAACGTTTCACAGGGAATTTGTAGTGAAATTAAATTAACAGGCAAATAAGCATGTCGTTTTCACCATTAAACAAAGATCTTTTTATCATTTACTTTCTCCACATTATCTAACTTTGTCAGGCTTCAATCACCTCTCCTGTGAAAGCAGTGCCAATTATTTACTCATTAATGTCAGAAAGTCCCTGTCTCCACACATGTGCATGTACCCACATCGCTCTGCACTGTGCATTTCAGCAGCTACAGCTGAGACAAACAGATCTGTTCTGGAGGAAAAGGTGGACTCTGGCAGCTTGGCAGCTTCTTGCAGCTGCAGAAGGGTTTGCTGTCTCTCCAGACAGATCCTCCCAGCTCTGACAGGACAGAGCCACCTCGGACCCCTACAAAGGGGTTTTGGACATGTTTTCAGAAGTGTGGACCAAACCCGCGTGTCATTTCTGTGTTCCACAAGGCGCCACTCAGGGAAGGCACAGGGACTGCCAGAGCAGCAGTGCATCAGCAAGACAAGGGGATGCAGGGAGCGGCACCTGGCAAAGCGGGGGGTGCCAAAGCGTTACCTTGGAAGCCTCGGGAACCGAGAGCAACGAGGGCCTGCAGCCATCTGAGCCCAGGCTGGGACTTGCCTTCTCACAGCGCAGCAGGACAGGCTGTGGGCAGCGCTGGGCACAGATCCCAAGGAGAACGCGGCCGCTTCAGCAAGCGGCGTCGGACATCTCACGGGCTGCAGCGGCGCGGCAGAGCAGAGCGGGACAGTCCTTTCCTGGGCAGTGCCGGGCCTGATGCGCCCCACGGTACGGTTGGCCCTTCGCCGTGCCCGGCAAACGTCGCGGGAGCGCGGGGAGCCCCCGGCGGAGCTCCGAGCTCTGGTAAGCCCCGAGCCGGGCGGCGAGCGTCGGGGCGAAGAGTACGCGCCTTCCGCTCACGGCGAGGTACGGCCGTGTCTGTAGGCGGACCTGTGCCAGGTTCTCCTGGCAGAGGGAAGCGAGCAGGGAGAGGAGCCCGGACAGCGGAGGGCTCCCTGTGCCGCGATGCGCGGTCCCGCTTTTCCTCCTCGTTCTCCCCCTCGACCCGGTGCCGTCCGACTCCGCTCTCCGCGTTTGTTGCAGCTCCTCTTCTCCCGTCCCGCCGACTCCGGCGGCGATGCCCGAAAAAGAACCGGGTTGCAGAGCAGAGCCCCGTCCGCCGCAACGAGCGGCCGCCGCCGCCCCGCAGGAGGTGACAGGTGGCGGCTCCCGGCGCCCCGCCTGCTGGCGCCCCGCACCGCCCGCATCGCGGTCCTCCGCGCGGCGCTCTCGCCGTGCCACCCGCGGCCCCCGACCTCGCGCCGTGCCCTCCGCCGCCGCGTGCCGTCCTTCCGCCCCGTGCTGCCCCGCCTGCCCTTCCCGGCCCTGGCAGGTGGTGCCCGTGCTGGCGGTGCCGGTGCGCCGGTTCCTCGGCGGCCCCCGGCTGCCCCGCGCTGCCCCGCCTGCCGAATGCGGGCCGGCAGCCCAGAGGGGGCTGTGTGAGGGACGGGGGGAGAGCGACCCCGGGGGTATCGGGGGCCGATAGAAGTATATGAGGAATTAGAGGATGTGGAGATAGTCGCTGTATAGATAGTAGGTAGCAAGATAGTTGACGGTGATGTAGATAGTGGAGAGCAAGGTAGATAGCTGGTGGTGATGCAGGTAGTGAAGAGATAGCAGATAGCAAGATGGATCTTTAATAGAGAGGTACTTTGTGGCAAGAGTTACTAGTGGTGTAAGTAGTCATAGGCAGACAGCTGATAGGGAGATAGTGGATAGAAGGACGGGTGACTGTGAGATAGTTAAATTATAGACTGTGATACAGACAGTTACTAAAAAAAAAAACTCCGTTTCAGACAAGCCACTGAGTCCTGGGACACCACTCTGCTCTCCAGTGCAATGAAGATCAACAGCTGATGCTGCTCCAGCGCCGGCAGAAGAGCAGCAGCTCTGCAAAGACCCGTCCTGCCAGCAGAGCACCGCAAAGAAGCCGAGCCTTCTGCTCACAGGAAGGCACTCGTGCTGCAGCCGCCTCCCCGGCAGCCCCGCACCGCCCCGTCTGCAGCCGCGGCCCCGACAGGGCAGCTGCGGGTGCTGGGGGCTGAGGGTTGTGGATAGCGTTGAAAGAGCGTTGTCTTTTTTGTGGTGGTGGTGTGTGGGAGGGGTTTTAATGCTGAAATATCACTCGAGCTTCACAGCAGTCAGTGTGACTCGCAAACTGTTAATCACTTCTAGCTGAACCAGAGCATAGCACGGCGCTCTGTGTTTCTCCCCCTGCTTTTGTCACTTGCAACTTGTACAATGTGGAGCTCAGGTTTCGACAGACGCAGAGGAAGTCAGAGCAGTTTTGCCTTTGAACAGGTCCTGCCCAAGCTTACACACCAAAAGGCTGCACAGCAACGTTTGTCTGTAGCAATTTGATGTTGGAGAGTTACAGAATTATTTGTAAGGTTTGCCACATACTGCAGAAAAGCAGAAATAAGTCAGAGCAGAAGGATAAGCTGCATATTCAACAACCCATTCGTTACATTTGACTAATTAGAACATAAAGCCATTTAAGCAGTC